TAAATCTACAATGAAAAAAATGTCTTTGTTTCCACTGTTATGTGCTTACTTTGTCCTAGCTAGGTTCCGATCATGGTACATAACATGTATGTTTGATTTAAAGAAGGAATTCAAACAGCCATAAAAGTAAGTATGTATATTAACAAAGATTAGGGAAATAAGGTATGTTTGGGGTCTTAATATTTATTGGAAACTTTGCTTTCTATAAAGTTTTTTATGATTACATCATAACAGCAACCAAAAATCAGATGGTATCCTTTAACGACGAGAAATATTTCAGGGAACCCTATTATCTCTAGCTAAACTTGACTTACACTGAATATATTGAACAAACTAACACCGGTCATAGTTTTTTAAAATAACGAGTATGGGTAGCACAACATCAATCATTCTATTTTACTTCACTGATGCTCCACAGCAACTCTATACAAGAGTTTACTAAGCTCTCGAATTAATAATTATTGTCAGTTCAGTTCAGTTCAGTTCAGTACAGTCACTCAGTTGTGTTCGACTCTTTGTGACCTCATGGACTGCAGCACACCAGGTATCCCTGTCCATCACCAACTCCGGGAGTTCACTCAAACTCATGTCCATTGAGCCAGTGATGCCATCCAACCATCTCATCCTCTGTCATCCCCTTCTCCTCCCGCCTTCAATCTTTCCCATTATCAGGGTCTTTTCAAATGAGTCAGTTTTTCGCATCAGGTGGCCAAAGTATTGGAGTTTCAGCTTCAATAACTATTGTAATAATATACAAAAATAACTATTGTAAGGATATATAAATGATTTTCACTTTGAATATATTACTCCAAATGGTGAAAAGACCATTTCTTGTTATTTATGAGTTATACTCATCAAATTACTGAAAATCTGGTGTAAGGGAAAACCTCTACACTTCCTATATTTGAGAGGAATCGGTAGTGTAAATGAAAAGGCAAACACTTCATGACAAAGATAAGGATTAGGAATACTTCAATGCAGACAATAGTTGAATATGATATCACATTATTGATATTTCTATACAGATCTAAGTCCAATATGGACCTTAAAAGGCCTTAAAATTAGCTCTCTACCAAAAGTTTACTGTTAACATAATCTAATACACTATTAAAAGGTATAGATGAAAGTATACTATCAAAACAAGTTTAATAAGTAGACTATCAAAAAGTATACATGAAAGAATTATAACAAAGAAGGTAGACTAGATAAATAACCAATCAATGTCTATTCAGTACCTAGTCTCTAAGTGGCCAGTGTATAGAAAATACCAAATTATGGAAATTCAGGGATAATCAATAGTTCTCAACCAGCTATACATACATTTCAGAATCTTCCTGATGAGTTTTTTAAAAACAGACCACATTAAGTTCCCCCCTGGAAATTTTAAACTGTTAGGACTGCAGTAAAGTTTGTGCTTATGTATTTTTATTAAAATATATCTTAAGTGTGTCTGATGATCATGGCTGGGGGAGAATCCCTCAGACAGCAGTCATTATAGATTAGATTGAGTGGACAAAACATCATAAAGAAAGCCTGTGTGCCTACAGCTGTGCTTTGCCACATGGAAAAGGTTTAAACAGAGAAGAATACTGGAATTCCCTGGCAGTCCAGTGGTTAGGACTCTGTGCTTCCACTGCGGGGGTCATAGGTTCGATCCATGGTCGGGGAAATAAGATCCCACAAGCCATGCAGCACAGACTAAAAAAGAGGAGAGCATAAACTGAGGTGGGAATGGGCAAGGTATCGTTTGGGAGAGAGCAGGTCGGCCATTCTCCAGAGAATTCAAGGTAAATAAAGATGGTAGTGTATACTGAATGAGGTAATTACAAGGTAATTGCTGACTTAAAAAAAAATAATACATTAGAGGACTGAATCCAGGTTTAGGGTTAGAAAATGAACGAGTGATGTGGAATCAAGGTAGTGAGTATTTAAAGCAGTCCTTTGAGAATTTGGGAGGGGAGGGCAAGAAAAAAAGTGAATGGAATTTGAACAGGAAGAGAAGGATCAAGAAAATTTTTTTCTGAGACAAAGGAGTCTGAAAATGTTTGCAGGCAGGAAGAGAAGTCCAATAGAGAAAAAGTGCAGATATTATAAAGTGGGTACAATTGGGATTCATATCTCCCAAGTGTTTTTAGTGTATTCGTTTAAGGACTAAAATATATTACAGTAAAATTACACCAGTTTAATTAGAATTAAAATCTGAGTAAATTTAATGGGAATGGGAATCACTGACAGAGTCTCCCAAACAGCCTAGGACAGAAAGTAGACAATAAAGTCAAAGAAACTTTTTATCAACTCTATTATTCTTCCATTCGATCCTAGATTCACAAATTTTGTGGAAGTAACTGAGAGCAGATGCAAACACTGAATGGAAAATTTCAAATAAGATGTAGACAAGCACATATAATTTGAGCTAGAACTGAAGCCAGGCCCTTCCTCTGCTCTTTGCCAGAGGAGCAGTAACTGCTTCCGACGAGTGCTGGCCGCTGCTTCAAATCTTGCTCACTGACTTAGTAGCCTCTTTCTTGGAATAATCTCTTACTGTTTATGTACTCATGACTCCAGAGCAGAGAAAAAAAAATTTTAATCTAGGCTTTAAAAGGAGATTGGCTTGACTTTATTACAGAAACGGTTTTTTTGAAATGGTTTATCAATTTAGGATAAGGAAGGACAACAGCAGCCACTATTAACAGGATATGACTCGATGTAAATTATCCTTGAGCAAAATTATTCTGTAAGTTAAGGTAGGAAGGACTCAAGTGGGTAGAAGAATACAGACAGGTCTGTTAAGCTCTTGCTATCCTCTCAGATATGAGGTGTCGAGGGTCAGAGCCAAACTGCAAAGTGTGTTTAATTTTATATCACTGGATATAAAATTTGAACTAATGATTTGAAGATTACAGTAAAGTATTAGGCTATGTTTTATAGGGTGGTTTACTCTCTTTTTTAACTCGATTATACTTATAAATACAAAGTACTATCACATTTTATTATTTCATTTGATCCGCATGAAAATTTTCTGCATTTGAGAGAATAGAAGTTATTTTTCCAGGCTGTTCAAGAAAGTAACAGAGATTTGGAGCAATTTAACAAGTTAATTCATTGAACAAATGTCTGAGTGCCTACTATATGCCAGTCACTGTTCTAGTCAGGGTTATGTAGTTTGCTAACGCTGGAGCCAGAGTCAGAATTCTTGCTGTAGGATGTTGATGGAAACGTAGCCACACTGCATTTATTTACCGGTGCTCTTCAGAAGGCCATTGGCACAAAGGCCAAGATGCAAGTCTTGGGAAATATAAATGCTGGGTGGGGTATAGGGAAAAACATACGCCTTTTGGGTATGACCTATAAAGGAAAGGTTTTTATGTTTGACAAGTAGCACATCTCATACATTTTTTTATAGAGCAGGATAATGTATATATTTTTTAAATACCTTTGACTATGGATTAAAGGTTTAGGCTTCTTAATTATATAGCCCACGGAGGACAAGGTATGTGTCAGCAACCATGATAAAACACATTTTATGAAGCAATTTTAAATTTAATAGATGTATAGCTTGATTTCTTTGTACTCTTTAAAGAATTTGCAAGCAAATACATAGATACTTTATACGTCAGTCATAGAGACATCAGAGGTGTTCTACTAGACAGAAGCTCAGAGTTCAGATAAAACGCTCCAGATAATAAAAAAACATAAAAACTGAATCCTGATTTGGTCGAATCTTATTTTGAAAGAGGTCCTAAATTGAGATTTACAATAATGTCATTTCTGATACGTAAAAGCTGGTTATTTTCAAAGTTGTCTACCTAGTGTTTTTCTCACAGACGTTATTTTTACTTTAGACTGGATCTAAGCAACTTTGTTCTTTGACAAGTATGCCTTCAATACATTTAAGTTACAGAGTCCAAATATTTCTCAACAAAATTTTTAGGGTCTACTTGACTTGATTATATTAGGATAAAAACTCTAGCCATTTGCATATACTCATACACACACTTAACACACATATGTACAGTTTCCAATTTTTAAATTTTAAAACCGTATGTTTTATTTTTATTTATTTATTTTAAACCGTATGTTTTAAATTAGCATTACAGGGAGATTAACAATGATTAGATTGTAGGGCACGATAGTGTGTTTCCTCCATATCAAGTCCTAAAACTAGAAGCAAATGTCACACGTTTGGAGGTTGTACACAGCGCTGTAAACAGTTTCCACGGTCCCTGTCCACAAGGCCTTCCTGTTCTGCCAGGATGAAGAATCCTGCTCTCCACACGCTGGTGTGGTCAGGCTCATCAACTGAATACCGAAAAGGCACATTCCTTAGTCAAGTTTATTCCCCTCCGTTCTTGAATCATAGTTACTGGTTTTATGGTCCAGGACAAATAGTCTTGAACTCCACAGCAGAGCCAAGACATCTGCATCGGATGCCTCATAAATCCAGCAGTCAAATCCCCCAGTCCCCGCCCACGCCGAGTTTCTTTTTGAATGGCGATGAGCTATAAGTCAAGGCCATGAAAAGCGGATCTTCATTCCGACTAAGTGTGGGTGACACCTCAAAGGTGTTTCTTCTTCTGGATGGGAAGCCTTGGGACGTCTCCACGCACAGGCCACCTCTAAGAAGCAATGGAGGTGACAGTGTCCGATGAGACACTGAACCCATGCTGTCAATGGCTGCCCCTAAATGCACATCCCCCAGCCTCGCGCTCCAGCCATAAAGCCCAGAAACCGCAGGGCGCTTAATCTATTCCAGCAACAGTGCAAATTCTTGGAAGCGCGGATTCCCGCCTGTTCCAGGCCGCGCGCAGAAATCAAACTAGACGCAGGCTCCCTGGGGGCCGTGCCGCGCGCGCTCCGCTCCCTCCGCCGGCCTAGCCTCGGCCGCCGCCCGCCCAGCCACGGAGCTGGGCGGGGCCGCCTCCAGGCAGCGGGGCAAGGCGGGCTGACCAGGAAAAGACGCGGGAGGCAAGCTCTGCGCAGGCGCGCGGCGCCCCGCCCCCCCAGCGTCGGCTCTTGGGCGGGCGGCGCGGGCCCTCCCACTCTCCCCCGCGCCGCCGCACCGCCCCGGCCCTCGCTTCACCCCGACGCCCCGGCGTGCGCGTCCTCCCGCCGGCCTGCAGGCCCCGGGCCTCTGCCTGCCAGCCCGCCGCTGCTCCTCGCGGCCCCGGCTCGTGTTCACGCTGTCGCCCGGGCCGGCGCGGCCGCGGGCAACCGCTCCCCCTCCCACACCTACCCCGCCCCCTCCCCGCCTTTTCCGCCCTCAGGTCCCCCTCCCTCGGCCCGCCGCCGCTGCTCCAGATGAGGTGATGGCAACGGCCAACTTCGGCAAGATCCAGATAGGGATTTACGTGGAGATCAAGCGGAGCGATGGTGAGCCTCGCCGCCGGTCCTGCCGTCCGGCCCCGCTGTCTGTTGTGCGGGGAGACGCGGGCGCCGGCCGCCTCATTGATTGCTCCGCCGGGCTGTGGGGGCGGGAAGGCGGCGGCCGCGGCGCTTTTGTGTGTGGCGTGTGTGCGAGTGAGGCCAGCTTGGGGTCCGCCCCGGGTGCCGCTGCAGTGCCGGGCCGGGGAGGGGCCCTGCGGGGGGCTAGGCCGGGGGTGAGGCCGACGGGGAAGGGCCCGGGGGTTTTCGGATGGGTGCGCCGGGGGGTCCCGGGTCGGGGGGCCCCCCCGCTCCTCCCCGGCGTTCTCCATTCTCCCCGGGGACCCCCGCCCGGGGACAGCAGGCTCCGATAGGATTGACCCAGCCTCGCGGCTCACCCCGGCCTGTTCATTTTCCGGCCTCATCTCTGAGGGGATGGGGGGTGGGGAGAGCGTGAAGAACAGAGATTTCAGCATTTAGGGAACCAACTACTGGTCCGAGGCCAAGGTGGGAGAGAAAGGCCAGCCCCACTGGTGTAAACTGTTCGGTTGTCAGGTTTCTTCGTCTTTCATTTCTCGAGCACGCCTCTTTCTTTTTTGCCAGTCCCTTCCTTGGAAGAAGGATGGGGAGCCTGTGGTGCTCAGCCATGAATAAGGGTGGGGGAGCGAAGGGAAGAAGTATTCGATAAGCTTCTCAAAGGTGATGAGACAGGAAGGGAAGGAGCAGGCTGATCCTCGGCTGTGCGAGGCACTCCTGAGAGGGTGGGGGCGGACGACCGGATGTTGATATTCTCACACCCTCCTGAGAGGTAACAGAAGTGTAAGTCGAGGTGGAGGCACATGCCTAATTAAAATTATAAAGAGAGAAAAAGCCCTAGGCTTGTGTCTCTTTCTGTAGGTTTCTCTTGGGGAAAATGTTTTACGCCCCTAGCCAGCCAGGTTTCGAAATAATTTATATTAAAGGGGAAAACGCATGGAGGCGGGTAAAATCATGTTTCAGTCCAAACATTGAGCGAAGTAGAGATATGTAATACCGAGAGGCGTGTGGTGTATCTTATTCTGTACCTTTAGGTTATGGCTTATTAGCGTTTAGCCTAGTCAGTGGTAACTGTCGCTGTCTCACCGATTTCTACCAGGTTTGATCAAGTTATGTGAAGCTTAGATTGACTGTCAGGTTTATCTGTGATAACATATATTGAAAGACCCTGTGCAGCTAATGATTTTTTTTCCCTTTCCCTATATCTGGCATAATTCGTGTCAACAGCTGTAAGCATTATTATCCTGTATGTGAAAAGAATAATTATACCACATAGAGCTTTAGAAGTTACCCATAACACTAGCGGGAAAGAGATGTCTCTCTTACTTTGGTTGGGGTTTCTTCGTATTTTCTCTTCAAATTGATTTCCTTAAGCTATGCTGTTACTGTAATTTCAATTTTACTTAAATGCAGGTTCACTGTGTACTAGTAAAAGTAGGGTTTATATATATTATTTAAAATTTGGGGGCGAGGCAATAAAATGTGTGAGGTTTTTACATTCTAAGACTTTTAACTGTGATTGTAGGTTTAACTATAGAATTTATCAGAAAAAGTATCATGATACTTGAAAAGTTTGGTTAATTTTATGTTTTCTGGTCTGACATCTTTTTAAATGTGTCAGACTGGAGACAATTTTGGTTTGGGGGGGATTCTAGGATATTCTTTATTTAGCACTTTATTTAGTACTCTTTCTGCCTTCATCTTCTGCCTGTGTCAGAAACCCAGACATTTAAGAGCTTTGTGTTCTTACATAAGTGCTAGTAACCTAAAATCACATTTCAAAACAGTTTGCCCTTGAGAAATAATGGAAATCATTACAGTGTATCCCATCTTCACTTACAGTCATGTATGTTTTTATGCTCCTCAGGTGCATAGTAGAGTTGAAGGTAACAGATAGTAGAGAACTTAAGGGAATGATCATTTGCATTGGGTAGTGGTGTTTCACAGTAGAAATTGACGTCTGGGAGACTCACCTGAAGCTTTCCCTTTTTCACTTTAAAGAAGCTGTTTCCTCCCATTTCTATGGTGTATCTCTTTGAATAAAACACTAGTGATCATTGTAACAGAAATAAACTTGGTAGTTGGATGAGCACTAATGTAATGCCTGAGACAATGGAGACCAAATGAATGAAGAAGGGCTGTTCTAGACTGCTGTTCACTGGTGATTTGATGTTTCTCTGCATGCTTGATAAGTGGTGATCCTTGTCCTTGTTTCTGAGCATACCATCCATGATGCTCATGTATTAAAAGAAAAAAAAAAATTTCCAGGCAATTAATGTGAACTTATCTTTCAACACCCTGCTCGAAGCTAATTCCCAATATGTTTTCATTGATTACTAAAACTGGATGGCCAGTCAGTCACTGAATTCCTAAGTCATTAGGAGACTCATGAGACAGCATATTTCGTTAAGTATTAATGTTTGGGTACATTTTTCTTAATATTATGTTTTCAGACTGCACTAGAGAAGGGGTGGTGTGGAGAATGTTATTGATGGATGGCAGACTGCCCACTCCCACTTCAGCCACAGCCTGGGCATTACAGGATTTTAAATTTCCAGAATTCATCTGCTCCTCGATGAGTTCCTTGCATATAGTTTTTGAGTGAATCATTCATTATTGGACTTAGTTTTCTAACATTATTTTGATTAATCATTATGACAAAATCTTACCTGGAAGGAAAACAGTTCCATCTATATGCATCCTGTGCTGCCACTTCCTTATTCTGCTCCCCCACCCCCACCCCAATGCCTCATACAGGCCTCTTAGTTCAAGATTCCCAGTGTTGATTGAAGTTGAGTGATCTAGCAAGGCTGATTGGACTGGTTTTTGGAAATGAACACTCAATGTTTGTTTTCTTGCATGTGTCTTTCGATTATCTTTCTGATTCAGTTTCTTTTTGAAATCTAATGACTCTAAAAACTGTAACCTTAACTGTTGTGTGGCTAAGTAGTCTTCATTAGGAGACCTCACACACACAAACACACACGTGTGCACACAAAACTTCACTGTTAATTATTGTTTGTTCTACAGTAGCTTTGACTATCCTTTGGAGGCTGGGGGAGTGATGAGAAATGTTTTGCATATTTGGAAGCTGCAGCCACGATGGAATTAGTCTTCAAGGTGTCTTAGTCACAGAATTAATAGATGTGATCTGAAGAGAATCATACACTATTTCAACCAGACAGATCCTTGGAGATAATCAAGTTCTCATTTTTAAAGATGTGGAAACTGAGTCCCAAGTCACTGTAAGTGACTTGTCTAGATTCATACAGTGGAAGCCAAGAACCTGGCTTATGTAGCATAGAAACCAGACTATCAACAACTGTGACAGGAAAGGAAGAATTCTGTTAATTTGGGAACCATATACAGCTTTCTCTAGCCCAGTTAAGAAGTAGGAAATTGTTTCTCACTCATGGGAAAGTCACTGGAGAGCAGCATTACAGAGCCCAGTTGGACTGATCCCGGTAAAAAGTGTTGTGGTGTGTAGTGTTGTGGTGTAGGTTACAAAACTCAAAAATTGTGAGAGGAAAAAATACATCTGTTTCTTAATTAAACAGTGAAAAGAGTGCTTTAATTAGACATCTGAAATCCAGAGGAAAGAAGATTTCAAAGGACCCATCAGGAATCTTGGAGTTTAGGGCAGGCCATCTTTAGAAAAGATTTTAGTGACCTAATTCTCTACCTATTTTGCCACATTTATTCTTCTGCTTGTTCATTTTTCCATGTCATTAGACAGGCTTTTAGAGAATGGACTGTGAATTTAGTTAATAAAAATGAACCACATAGCAGTATAGTTCCTTTTGGTACAATTATGTGATTCTGATTATGGAGTGGGTGGAATGGAGGGGATTGTGGATTCAGTTCAGGTCAGTTCAGTTGCTCAGTTGTGTCTCTTTGCGACCCCATGGACTGCAGCACGCCAGGCTTCCCTGTCCATCACCAATTCCTGGAGCTTATCCAACTCATGTCCATCGAGTCGGTGATGCCATCCAACCATGTCATCCTCTGTCATCCCCTTCTCCTGCCTTCAATCTTTCCCAGCACCAGGGTCTTTTAATGAGTCAGTTCTTCACATCAGGTAGCCAGAGTATTGGAGTTTCAGCTTCAGCACCAGTCCTTCCAGTGAATATTCAGGACTGATTTCCTTTTGGATGGACTAGTTGGATGTCCTTGAAGTCCAAGGGGCTCTCAAGAGTCTTCTCCAACACCACAGTTCAAAAGCATCAATTCTTTGGCGCTCAACTTTCCTTATAGTCCATATCTCATATCCATACATGACTACTGAAAAAACCATAGCTTTGACTAGACACATCTCTGTTGGCAAAGTAATGTCTCTGCTTTTTAATATGCTGTCTAGATTGATCATAACTTTCCTTCGAAGGAGCAAGCATCTTTTAATTTCATGGGTGCAGTCACCTGCAGTGATTTTGGAGCCCCCAGAATTAAAGTCTCTCACTGTTTCCATTGTTTCCCCATCTATTTGCCATGAAGTAATGGGACCAGATGCCATGATCTTGGTTTTCTGAATGTTGAGTTTTAAGCCAACTTTCTCATTCTCCTCTTTCACTTTCATCAAGAGGCTCTTTCATTCTTCTTCGCTTTCTGCCGTAAGGGTGGTGTCATCTGCATATCTGAGGTTATTGTTATTTCTCCTGGCAGTCTTGATTCCAGCTTGTGCTTCATCCACACCGATATTTCACATGATGTACTCTGCATGTAAGTTAAATAAGCAGGATGACAGTATACAGCCTTCATGTACTCCTTTCCCTGTTTGGAACCAGTCTGTTGTTCCATGTCCAGTTCTAACTGTTGCTTCTTGACCTGCATACAGATTTCTCGGGAGGCAGGTCAGGTGGTCTGGTATTCCCATCTCTTTCAGAATTTTCCACAATTCTTTGTGATCCACACAGTCAAAGGCGTTGACATAGTCAATAAGGCAGAATTGTGAATTAATGATTTCTTTTTACATGGTG